AAAAAATGTGACAATGAGTGTGTATATGTCCATGAATGACTGAAAAATTGTGCTGAACACTGGAATTTGACACATTGTAAAATGATTATAAATCAATAAAAAATGTTAAAAAAATAAATAAAACACTGAGCATAAATGCCTACAACATTGTAGTTGTGCAATAAATTATGGCTGTTACTAGTAATATTTTTATTGTTGCTGTTAAAAATGATAATGATTCATTTAATTTTTTCAGAAGCTTTTATTTAGAGCGCAGTTACTGATAGATATTCATTTTTGGCTTTTCACTGTAGAATGCAAAATCATTCAAAGGAAAAGTAGCATTTTTCACCCTATATTAGGGACAGAAAATATTAAAAAAATTCTTTTTTGAACTCAAAGGCTTACAAATACAGAGGCATATTTTTTCTTCCCATTTCCTATTACAACTTTAATAATAGAAAGTGTAAACCAGTGGGAAAACATGACCATGACAAAAATGATTTTATACTTTAAAAAATTATGCAGAATTTAAAATGTCTTTTAAAGAAATTTAAAAAAAACTAAGTATGATTTTTATCAAAAGTATAAGAAAACTGAAGCATGAAAAATTAAATAACTTTATCAAGAAGTAATATTAGAAATAGAGTATAGGTTTCCTAATTTTTAGCCCAAGATCCTGCACACTAAATTATAATATTAGCAATTATTTTTAAAGGAAACTGAATTAACAGTAGTCTTTAGCCCTAATGCTATAGCCTTTATTTCCTTAACTACAAAATGAATGGAATTATGTGAGAAACCCTTGGGCCCCTTTAATCTCCAGTGAAATTTGATTCTGTGTCTGAAGTCTTTGTAACTGACCACCAGAACCATAGTCATCTTTTCCTCTTGGGAACTTCTGTCTTTACCCCACTATTTATCTTTCCAAACTGGTCACAATCATATTGTCACATTGTACTGTAACTTAACATTTTTGTAAGCATATCCTCTGTCTCCAATTAGATTGCATCTTCTTGGAGATACAGACATTTTCTTATGTGCCTTTGTATTTGTAAGCTTTCGAGTGCAAAAAGAATTTTTTTTAATATCATTTTCTGTCTCCTCATAGCACCTAACATAGTGCTTTGCATAGAGTAGGAACAATATAAATGCATAAGGATGAAGATTGTCAGATAGGAGTTAAAAAAAATAAGACAACAATCATAGCTATGGTAACACTGGCATAGGATTCATGGATTCTGCTTCAAAAGCATTATGTTTGTTTTCCTTTGTTCCAGAAAGATGCCACGAAGAGAATATTCTCTGGCATTCAGCCTACAGGAATTCCCCACCTTGGCAATTACCTGGGAGCTATTGAGAGCTGGGTGAGATTACAGGATGAGCATGGCTCTGTGCTGTACAGCATCGTTGACCTACACTCCATCACTGTCCCCCAAGACCCAGCCTTCCTCCGGCAGAGCATCTTGGACATGACTGCTGCTCTTCTTGCCTGCGGCATAAACCCAGAGAAGTGCATCCTTTTCCAACAATCTCAGGTCAGCTTCTCAGATTAGAACTGTGAAAACTTCCATTTTCAGATTATTTGAGGAATAATTTGAATAGTTTATATAGCTCCTGTTTGTGATTTTTAAAAAATCGTTCAAGGGTGATTTCATCAAATGTGAATGTTTCATTTTAATGTTTTCCCTGTATTCATATCACCGAGTATCATTATAATGCAATAGTATTTTTCAACTGTTCCTCCACTATATGTGGTAAATTTATAATGATTCATATACCAAAAAGTTGTATCTCATTAGTACTTCTAATCCTGGAATTGTTTTTCTCTGCTGGGTTGCATTCAAACTGATGAATTCATGCTGTTGACTAGTCTCCTGGTGATCAGGGATAGAATTTAACGACCTATGGTTTTGTGTAACTTCAATGTTGCTTTGTTGGGTATTGCTTTTGGAAGGTCTATTGGATAATTCCCATTGTTCATTCTTTGTATAATAGCTTTTGAGAAGATTTGAAAGAACTAGCTAGGAAATTGGAAGACAATGTCCAGTGTCTTGAGTCCAAGCCAAGAAAGGCTTCAGAACAAAGCCAGAATATTTGACTCATATCTTTACTATGGATGAATCAGTTTACTCTTGGACAGGCAGAGAGCCTGGACCAGAGACAGGGCACTTAAGAGACTCCCTAGGAAAGAAGATGAAAATTTTAACTGGATCATGCCCTCATTACATGTCTACTTTAACCTTGTGTCTAAGTCCCAGCCACAGAATGATATGCAGTACATGTTATGGCACATGTTAATGTATATAGATGTGTGGTACATGTTATACATGTATATAACTCCTTCCTTGATCATAAACTTCTGACAATCATTATTTTGTGTATATCTAATTACCCATAGAACTTAATGTAATTCACACAGAACAACTATTTTTAAAATATGTCATAAATGAAAAGACTTTCTTCAAAACATAAATGCATTTATCAACTTAAAGTTGTTGCCAGCTTAGAGATAATTTGATAAAATAATAGAATCTAATCATTAAAATGACCATAAAGGCAATTTATCTCAATTTCCTTCCTTTCAGTTGGTCAGGAAGTCTTTCCCTGCATATGACTTTTTTTTTAATACATATGACTTTTCAAATTCATCTTGGACAGATCTAATTGTTATAAAGTACTTGCTTATACTGAGCAAACACCTGCCTCGCTGTAACTTCAATCCACTCATTTAACTTCTCTCTAAAATTCATAGTAAGCCAACTCTGTCTTCTACATGACCGCTCTTCAAATACTTGGAGACATTTGTTGTGCACCATCCCTACCCTTCAGGTCCTTATCTCATAGGCCTTACTGTCTTCAAACTAGTCCCTAGATCTCTCACCCTCTTGGTTTTCCTACCTCAGAAGCACTCCTACCTTCTCTCTGAAAGGAATGTGTGTCTCATATTTCATGAAACAATGTGTATTCAAACTCTTCACATCCATCCCTGATATTATAATGCTGGTCATCATTAGAGCCAGTTTTTGAGTCACCTAATGCATTTTCCAAAGCCTACCACCTTCATTCCATCTTACTGTTTTTGATATAAGCTCTCTTTTGATCCTTATGTGATTCTTTTTTAAATTGTATTCTCAGTACCTATTTCCATACTTCTTAATATGTGAAAATGTCTAATCTCCACCAAGTAACCACTTGTCAGATTCCTTTTTAAGTGACCTTTAAAATTCAAGGCTTATTCACAACCATATCCAATACTTACACTTTGAGCTATACCCCTAGAATTATCACCATGTTATAAAAATTTTCTCCATTGTAAAGGATTTTTGGCAGTAACCTCCATAAACATCTAAAATTTGCAAAAATTGAGGTATCTTCTTCCACATGGTACGTTGTTGTTCAAAATAACAATTGAAAGAGGAACCCACAGTATGGGCGCCTTTGTAAGAAATCTCTTATAAATGAGCAATAATGAAATTTACCTTCCTTTTGGTTTTTCTGTGTTACATAATGAGCTCACTGGTTCCCAAAGTGGTTGTGGATCTAGATCAGAGAGTGGAGGCAACTGGGGTTGCCTGTTTCCTCAGTGGCCTCTAAACTACCAATCCCCCTCCTTCCATCCCTGACTTAAACTCCCTTAGGGCAATTTCAATCCTTTGCTGGTAAAATTTGAGGAAAGTACTCATCAGCCCACATTGCACAATTTGTCCCACAAAGACAGTATGAGAGACTTCCTCAGGGGTCCTTCTGTCCTCAAGACATGCTTGGCTGAGGCCATTTCCTTCTTTAACTTGGGCCACCAGCCTTATCACAACTCAGTAGATGAGCTAGATATTTTATCAGGTTTTCTTTCCTTTTAAAATATTTAATAAAGAAACTTAAATATACACAGAAGAGTTAGAGTGAGGAGTATACTGTATCTCCATTGTCTCATCAATTTTTGTTGTTGTTGCTGAAGTATTTGAAAGCAGATACCACACATCATGACATTTTATGCCCAAAATATTTCAGCATGCCTCTCTATAAACTAAGGAAGTTTTCTTACATAACCACAATACTGTCATCACACCTAACAAAGTTAATGATAATTCCATATTATCAAGTTATTTATATATTAGTTATATGATAACATGGAATTATAATAATATTGTTATCGTATCATGGTCAAATTGTGCTGATTCTCCCAAAATATCTTTGATATTGGCTTGGTTGAATGATAGTGATCTAACCAAGGTCTACATATCACAGTTGATTATGGATCTTAAGTCTCTTTTTTTTCCATACCTTTTGATTTGTTGATTAAATTTTGTTTCCTGTAAAGTTAATCCTTCTGCACTTAAAAAAAATTAAAACTTTGGTTTCTCTGCTCCCACTCTTTTCATGCTTTTGATGTGTTAATTGGGTTTTCTTTTATTTGCTATGAAATTAGCTCTTTTGAACATAAAAATAAACCTTAAGTTTTTGTTGCTTTCTCTTTGCACTCATCTGTGTCAGCTGATGTTTAATGGCCATAACCTGCTATCCCACATAATTGCTCATCATCATTTGTAATAGTTTGAATAGAAACTATGTTTGCATAGCACCTGTGGAGTGCCTGGGAAGAAGTGCCTGGACATCAGAATGGCCATAAAGCCTCAAGCTGTTCATGGAGGCTGGCAGGAAGTTCTTCTCTGTGCTTATCTTGAAACTGTGAAGGCATGTATTGGCTTTTGCTTGTTAGAATCATTTTCAAGTAGAAGTATAATTAAATAACCTAATTGTCTCCCTGAAACAATTATTATTTTGAACACCTGGCCCCATATTTGCAGTGTTCTAGTAGGCAAAAGAATCATCATGGTGTTGGTATTTTATGTCTTGCAATACAAAAATCAATTAATAACTGCTTTATCAACCTATGGAGTCTCCAGGAGATGGGGATTGAAAAGAAAATATAACATCTCTAAATGTGCAATGTACCAGCCTTTTCATATATGTGACCTCTCTTTTAATCTCCAAAATGACGTATGAGTTAAGCATTACTGTTTCTTCAAGATGAATAAATTAAGGTACGAAAAGATTAAGTAAATTAGAAAATATACTTAAAACCATCTCTGAGAGGTGCATCGTACTCAGTAGAGACTAAACAAATATATCTTTTTTTTAAATTGAAGTATAGTCAGTTACAGTGTATCAATTTCTGGTATACAGCATAATGTCCCAGTCATCCATATATGTTCATTTTCATATTCTTTTTCATTAAAGGTTATTATAAGATGTTGAATATAGTTCCCTGTGCTATACAGAAGAAATTTGTTTTTTATCTATTTTTATAACAAATATATCTTCTTAATTAGCTACCTGAGATCATGCAGCTTTCAGGGGGCAAATCTAGGACTCTCTTTTTCTTCCTAAGGCACCACTTTTGGAAGGTATACAGACAATTTCTGATTTACAATGGTTTGACCTACGATTTTTATCTTTTTTTCAAGCTGGCAATATGCAGTATGGTACTCTTTTGTGATGCCTTTCACCTTCAGTATAGTATTCAATAAATTACACGAGATATTTAACACTTTATTATAATAAAGGCTTTGTGTTAGATGATTTTGCCCACCTGTAGGCTAAAGGAAGTGTTCTGAGCACGTTTAAGGTAGGCTAGACTAAGCTATGTTGTTTGGTAGATTGGTATGTTAAATGCATTTTCGACTTAGAAAATTTTCAACTTAACGATGAGTATATCAGGATGCCCCATCATGAGTTGAAGAAGCTCTGTACTCACAGGGCAAGAACCTTTTTCTGTCTCCCACCATGCCTTTGACTCTGGAGCTGATGGTAGACGGGCAGTGCAGAGCCAGAGCTGACCTCAGGGTCCTGGACGATTAAATTCCCTTTCACCCTGACCTGAGTCTCACAGATAGACAGTCCCTTCCCTACATTGTAGCCCTGGTCATCTTTCTACTTGAAACACATCAGCACCTCTCTCCTACCCTCAGGGTAAAAATCTAAGCTGAGTTTCTGGAAAGCCCTTCAAGCATGAGGCCCTTGAGAACATGAGGTCAGTGTTTCTTCCACTCCACTGCTTTTTATCACAGGTTATTTTGTGTTCAAACAATCTGATTCACTTTTGCCAACAATTCTTCAAAGCAGAAGTTGGAGTATTTTCTTCTGGTTTTATTTTGAGAAAATGTGATAAAGCAATTCTTATGAAACATAACCTTAGTGATTGGTTGTGAAATTTTAACAAGGTTTTTTGTTAGTTCCTTAATATTGGGAATTTTGTAGTGCATTTAGTCATTTAGTTGATCATTAAATATGATTGGAATTTAGAAAACAATTATAGTTAAAGTGTTGGGAGCCAATGCTAGTTAAAATGAGTCATGCTTGCATCTCCCCATACACAATTTTTCACAAGTAAAATTAAGAATTTTTAAGAATTGTGCTGTACACCAGAAATTGACACAACATTGTAAACTGGCTGTACCTCAATAAAAACGGGGGGGGGATGGAGAAAAAAAGGATTTTTGAAATTGTGAAATAGAGGAAAAAAATTTTTTTAATA